AAAAAAAAAAAAAAGTCTGAATGTAGAGATGGAAATAATGTGAGATTAAAGAGAACGTTTAAGGAGATAACGTCCAAAAAGTTACAAAGGTAAGTTGATAACATGTCTTGACAGAGGCAATTATTTATAAATATATATGTATAAAACATATATATAAATATATGTTTACATATATAGAGTATGCGTATATATATTATATATATGTATAAATATATTTATATAGTAATAATCAGTGGGTCCATGGTGTAGCGGTCAGCGCGCCATGGTTCGAGTCCCACAGGAACCACATACTTGGCGCCTCCTAGGGGCAGGCTGTTGCAGCAGATTAATGCAAGACATTTCCAAATGTGGGATCAATAAGATTTTAATTATTATTATTATTATATAAATAATTGCCTCTTCCAGGATATATTAACAAAGAGGGAAGTTTTGAATCGAGTTTGTGTCGACTGTGTGATGATAAGCTCCTCCCACTCTCTCTTCCTACTGGAGCCGTGTGTGAGCTGAGTTACTACCACACACACACACGAACACACACACAGTAAGACCTGGGGCCACACACAGAATCCATTGTTTCCATATGCAATATATTTCCCCGTGTGTGTGTGTGTGTGTGTGTGAGGAAGTGCGCAGTGTTGTGTGTCAGGCAAAGAAGAAGAAAATGAAATCTGGACTCATAGCTGCGAGCAGTAAAACACACACTCAGCAAAGTCAAATAGCTTCATAATTGTGTGAGTTGGCAGCACACACACACACACACACATTCACACACACACACACACACACACACTCACTGACTATAAAAGACCAATAATATGTAACACACAGTGAATCAGGTTTTGATGAAAACTGGACTCCAGAGCTGTTTCACTGGTTACTAATTGATATTAATTGGAATTTTAATTAATGGCAGTTTTATGCTGAAGCTAAAAGAATTAATGAGAAAAACAAACAAACAAAAAAAAAAACCTCTAACACTAACACCAGCCAATGACGGGACACCCTGTAAGTGTGTCAGAATAAAAAAAATTAAAAAATAAATTAAAAATTAAAAATTAAAAAAATAAAAATAAATAAAAAATAAAAATAAATAAAAAATTAAAAAATTAAAAATTAAAAAATTCAACTACATCTGTGAAAAACACTGTCTTGCAGCAAAAATTAGGTAAAAAAACAGGAGTTCATAAAATCAAATTCCATTAAGACAGTGATCCTCAACTGGTGGCCCGTGGGCCAAATCTGTTCCATTCAATCAGACCCACGACTGGATTCCAAAATCAACATTAAATAATGTTGGACCAAAACCATTTTATTTGAGTGTCCAGCCACCGAGAAATATTCAGCCCGCCCCCCCGAATTCAGACTTTAAATCTGAACATAAATGTTTGAGTTTTTTTCCCACTGGATTCTTTTCCAAACCCTAACAGATCAGGTCTGAAACTCTGGACTTCACACAGAGTCAACTCTACATTTGTTTTTTTTTTGTATTGTTTTTTTTTTCCCCCAGCTTCTTATCTGACCAAACAGCCCCCCCCAGCCACACCGACGACCTTCCAACCTATTTTGCCCTCTACTGGCTCGGATCCCTTCACTCTGACCCGCCGCTCAGATCAGAACCAGTGGAACCGCCGCTGACATGCTGCACTGGCGAAAACCCCCTTGTACACAGTGCAAACAGCGTCGGCGACACAGTAGACATCTCCCTCATCAAACACGCACTCGGCATCCC